ATGGAAAGCAGCATCTCATGCCTCTCATTTTGCTTCTTGATGATTCCCATGCACAATTTTACGCTGGATTCAACTTGCTCTTTTTCAATATTCACCGCCATTTCTTTGCACTTTTCACTTTACGCACTTTTAAACCAATATTTACCGCGTAAAAAGATATTTCAAGCGCCAGCCGCAACTGTTTGCAACAGAATATTGATCAAAATGTATTTACATCGCTCTATTTATAGCAATTTTACCCCCTTGTGCGCATGAGCATCAACTTATTTTACCACCACCACCACTTTTGTTTAAACGGTAGATTAACAATTATTTTCAAAAGTTACAAATTATTTCTATATATCATCCGTGTACGACACATAGTTTTTATTTTACATTTACCTCGTGTCGTAGCTACCTACACATGAGTACATATGCGTATGAAAATCATTAAACAATTCTTTAAATGGGCATTTTTATAAACATTTTATTCTACATTGAATACTCATCGAAAACTTTTGTAGAATTTTCTTGCACAAACAAGTACGCGCAGGTTTAACGGCCCCCGAGTTGTAAACCGTTTTTTGTCTTCAAAAAAATTATGTCCTCATCGGCACGCTCTTGTTACCCCCCACGAACATGCAGATTTATCGGTCCCGAGTCATAAACCGTTTTTTGTCTTCAAAAAAATTATGTTCTCATTGGCACGCACGTACAAGTTCTCGCAGATGAAAATCGTTCAGAAAAAATCCAACACATAAATTCATTTTTTATATTACATCCCTGACTTTCTAGTCACAGTCTTGCGACGCTTGCTTCGATTTCTATTTCGCCTAGACGCCCTCAACTATGCTTCACGCTCATTGGGAGCCATAAGTAACCAGACGCTCATTGGTTCTTCCTCGGGGGCCCTATCATCCCCATCAACTACCCCTGAACCTCGCTCATTGGGAGCCATAAGTGTCCAGACGCTGATTGATCCTTCTCGGGACCGATACCACCCCCGCCCTTACAATTCCTCACTCAACCGACGCCAACTTGCTTTCATACACGTTTGAACACACGAGGCAACAACATCGGAGCGCCGCCATTGCCAGTACCAGCCACGCTTCGAAACGGATTTTTAAATAAATATATACTCTTTTAATAAAGAATTCTTACTCGAGAACATTCTCGAACCTTCCTCCCAAACAAATCCCTCAACAAAAAAAAATTTAAATACACATTTTTAGAAAATTATAAAAATTTATAAAAAATTTATAAAAAATTCAGGGGTCATAAATCATGTCACTTCTCCATCCCCTCCAGTGGGCGTGGCCAATCACCACCAAGGGAGGGGGAAAAACACTATGGTGGGGCAATGGCGCCAGAAGTGGTGGGGGGGCCAGGTGGAGGGGGTTTGTTTTGACGCGCCATAAGTGACCACATACTACTGACAATGTTGGTGAATTTTTTGATACCATAGACGACCTTATAATTGTTTGTGTACAAAGTTATCCTCATTTATATAATAAAAATGATAAAAATTATAAAGATAATATAATGAAATTAAAGTCATGGGAGAAAATTGCAAAAACATGTAATCTATCAAGTAAGTATAGTTTTGAGAGAGAAAGCTTTGACATGCAGAAACACTGATAATAGAAATCTTTCTTAGTTGATGAAGTTCAACAAAGGTGGAAAAGATTGAAAGAAAGATATGGCAAACAGAGGAGACTAAAAGAACTTGCAACTCGCAGTGGCAGTGCTATGCAAAAAATTAAACAATGCCCATTATTTGAAAGTATGAAATTCATGGAATAACATCCAGAGAAGAAGGTATAGATTAATAACAAATTATTTATTTTATATATATAGCAATTATAATTATTTTAATACTTAATCAATTTACTTATATTGTAGGACATTCAGCAACGTTTTACTGCAACTTGGAACAAAATTGCCACACCAGAAAAATCAAATTTTAATTATTAGAGGTATAAATTAAAAAGAATACATATTTTTTATTTTTATATTTGCAAGAGTTTAATGGTTGTATACATAAACATTGCGTTTTTTGTAAAATAAAGAAAACAGAGATTTATAAAATACTTTAATCATAAAAATAATATTTATACTAGTATTATTTAGGCTATGGTTAGCTCATTTTCATGGTTAAAATGTTCTATCTTTATTATTCATAAATGTAAAACAAAGAACTTAATGTTTATTGTTATATTCTTTTTAACAGAGAAAATACACTAGCATCTCAGTCAAATCAAAACATAACTCAATTATTTCAAGAATTGAGAAGACGTCAAAGCATGATCCAAGTAAATGGAGGATTGAAAAAAGTTCCAAGCATAGTTCTACAAAATAATCGATTAGAGAGTGTGATCGGAAAAAAGTAAGTATAATCAAAACATAATACTTAATAGAAAGAAAAAATTAACGGCAATTATTAAAGAAAAGCATAGCACGTTTGCGAGATAAAATAATTTAATTAATGATTCATTAATATTGATTAAAACTGATAAATGTCTTTAGTAAAAGCAAAAATTTTTCTTTGAGAAAAAAAGAATCTTTTACTTAATTGTACCAAAAGAAATTTTGCATAAAATAATATATAGTGTAGGTTTTTCTGAGAATCACTTAGAAAATAGCGTACATGAATCATCAAGAAACTTGGAAAATTCTGAAGTTTTAGTACTAAACACATACAAAACATCTATAAGAGTTCCTCAGACATCTATGTCTTCCAAATCTGCAAGTGTGTCTGATATTTCTGAAAACAACGCTTTATCTACTTCATTTACAGCAACATATGAAACGTTAGATAATTCTCATAATGTTACCATTTCATCAGATCAGTCTTTGGAAGCTTCTGATTACATCTAAAACAATTTGTCTCTAAATAAACTTAATTCGTCTTCAGGTGAAGAAGTTACTAGAGCGAAACTGTCCACAACTGCAAATGTATCCTCGCTTAATGTTCTAACAAAATGCTTTTTTAGCAGCTCCCAACGAAAAAAAAAAATAATCCCGATATACTTGAAACTTCATTTATAAGTGCCACAAATATTCTTAAAGAATATTTAGTTAAAAAAAAAGAAGATAAAAAAAATTATCAATCTGCAGATGAGCATCTAGCTAAGTTTATCGTATCACGACTTTTGCAATTGCCAGAAGAAAACAGAGATGATAAACGCAAAAAAATAATTGATATCTTATTATCTAAACAATTTTAACAGAAAGTCTTGTTCAAATAATTTTGTTCACATAATAGCACACACATCTTTATTAATTTTATTTCTTGTTTGTAGAGATTAAAAAATACAAATACATCAGAGAAAGAAAGAAATAGTACAATCATATACATATATAAGTAAATATATTTTTATTTTTTTGCAGGTATAAACAAGCGATATACTTAATATTAGCTGTTATGATTTTTTTGTCATGTGATTTTTGTGCAAAATGTAATTACTACTATATATTTAGTATTTTTTTTTTTGTTATTTCTTAACAATATTGTTGTTTTATCTGTGATTTTCTGTGCAAAATAAATGTATAATTATTATCTAAAACAAAAAATATGATTTATTAAATGTAAGTCGCAATACATTATAACTAAGAAAAAAATATAATTAGATATAATAATACTTCACGTTCACATAAAATACTAATTGTAAATCAAATATGAAACAAAAGAATTATATATAGTACATAGTTCACTAATTGAATTACAATTATTACCTGATTGATGTTCAACTTCGTTCGAAAATCTAGTTTGTAATGATGATTGTTCATAAGTAAATTTGATGTTGTCACACTCAGCTGAAATATTATTATATTCATTAAATTTTTATTATATTTTCAACAAGTTCAAAATGCCTACCTGATATATTTTCTTCAGACTTATCATTCAAATNGAATGCGTTGTATCTACTTGATAATTCTAAAGATTCATTATCATGTTTCATATGTTCGGGGATTGCTTGTGGTTGAAGTCGGTTTTTTAAATTGTTTAAAAACATCAACGATTTAAAATGATCATCACAAACTTTGTAATTTTTATATAAATTTTCTACTGATGTGTTAATTTCGCGATTACATTTTTCCAACCACAATTTTGCTCTGAAAGACGTTTTGTGTAAAATATTAATGGAAACTTGATATATAATTCAGTAGTAAGCAATAAACTCGATAATAAAAATCATTTTTACCTTTCTGGATCCCTTGAGAAACGAAAAAAACTGGAACTAGATTCACGTCCAGAAATATTTGGACAACCTTTCATACTACAGCTGTAACCACCTCTCTTCATTTTTATCACATTTCTTTCTGTCAAGACAAAATGACAAAAACATTTTATTATCACTAATTAAAGAAAAAAAGTCATTCACAAAAGAATATATCGTGAAGCGGTTAACTGATGTTACCTACTGATATTCTGAACGCAGCCATGTTGCTAGATGTATCAACTCGCACATGCGCACTAAAAGTTTGTTTCAAGTCGAACGGCTTACTGTCGCAACTGGGTATGGTTAGACTGTGTCACAGGTCTTATTAAAGTGACCAATCACGTTGATCAATCAGCCAATTGATCAACGTAATTGACCACTTTCGTGAGATCTGTGATCTGCGATTCGCATCTGAGTCTTCTGTCTTACATATGTACAGACGGCGTCATTAATTCGAAGAATAGGCGCAGGGATCGGAGGGCAAGCGGTTGCTCGTAGCGCCAACGGGCGCCGTACTAACTAACTAGTAGCAATCGGGTGTCCACAACTACGACGTAGTATTTAGCCCGTTGGCGCTACGAGCAACCGCTCCGCTTGCCTTCTGATCCCCGCGCCTATTCTTCGAATTAATGACGCCGTCTGTACAAAGGGTTTAACTTGCAAGAATGTGACGCGCTTTATTTACTTGCTGAATGGCGTATGGGTATTAACGGCTCTTTAGCCACTACCACACCGAACCGTGACCGAATGAACTGAGAACTAGAGATGCCAGTTTTAAGATTTTTGCAGCATGCAGCAGCAAGTGGAGGGGATACGCACACAGGCGAACAGCCGTGTCCGTGTGCGCTCGGCGCTTCGGCCAACTTCGAGCAGTAGACGGAGACGGATATATATAGGTAATTCTCAAAAAACGTAATCTCCGTGGACTGTAATCTCCGTGGTATATTGACATAAAAAACATAGATAAGTTTTTTATATTGCATAGTCACGTATTCATATTACGAATGGTGACTTAAACTGGTATGAAAAAACATAATTCACCGCTATTCGTTAGTTAATAATAATTATTTTTTATCCAAACTGAAAGGTAAAATTTACGCGTTTACAGAGAATCATATAACCGCTCTCTGTCTTCCCTTATAACTATAGCTATTGCTAAACCGCCAGCCGCGAGAAGCGTATCTCGTTGCTAGCCTGTTTCTCGCGCGTGGCTTGTATGTTCTTTCTCTCTTTTTCTCTCTCTCTCTCTCTCTCTCTCTCTCTCTCTCTCTTTCTCATAGTTACACGGTCTGCGTTCCGATCTTCACTGCCGGTACTGAACATCTATAGCACATTAAATGTGAAGTATAGATTTGTAGTACTATCTAGTAGATAGCGGTGAATATCGGAACGCAGACTATTACTAAATCTGAAAATAACATAATAAAATAATAATTTGAACATATAAAATATATAAAATAATATATAAAAA